AATGTATTAAAACAAACTCTTCAGGTAACTCTGGCTGTTCAAGCTCAACTCATTCTTCTAGGTTTTTAGGATTAAAACCAGAGCAGAAACAGGGGAAATGAATCCTGTCCCCCTGCCCCAGTCCACGTCCTGCTCAGAGCTGCATGGGAGATGGATGGTGAACCAGCTCTGGAGGATTTGAAGAGCTGCTAAAACCACGTACGGGGTTTATTAAGCATCTGGACTTGCATCTATGCTGCAAGTTTGCCGACGAGTTGCAAGCAAGTGCCCTACAGCAACCAGAAAGCAGCAGCACATCGGTGCCGAGCACACCGCAAAGCACAGCAGGATCTGAATCTTCTTGGGTGCATCTTATTACCATTTGCGTGGGCTGGATGTGTGGTTGCCTGAGTGTTTTGTTTCATTTGTTTCCCTTCGCTTTTATTCATGTGGATGAAAATGCTGTCAAGGAATTGCAAAGCAAAGAGTGAGGTTTCTCCTGTCATTACCTGTACACTATTTAGAAATCCTGAGCGCGGAGATGCTGAAAGGGGAAGCTGGAAGTCCCTATCCCAAGATCAAGCCAGATCTTCTCCTTAATGACTCCTCCTTTATTCTGCCACCGAAAATCCTTCCAAGATTGGAATGTGCATGCAGGGGCAGTGCAGAAGCAGCAGCCAAGTATCGCCACCTCACTCAAACCCTACTGCAGTCTTCCCACCTGTTCAGAGCAGGGATTTAATCCAAATTCCTTTCCCCTTTTCTTCCCCATAAGCATGGAAATAACAGCAGCACTTGCTGGTGAGGTGCGAGCAGCACCATGCCAGGGACTTCAGCAACCGTAGCAATGCTGTGTAGAGGAGGGCTCTCACCCTTGCTACAAGGGAGCAGAGCTCAACTGCTGGCGGGGATCGGTGGTCCGGGCGGTTTTTAATTCCTTTAATATATTTTGACTTTGCCAGATGCCACAGACATCTTGAAGGATGCATCAACACTGTGTAAATGCTGCAGTGAGGCGCTCGGAAGTTAAGCAGTGGTTGCAATGCTGCTGTTGGCGCTGGTAGGGTGATCCTCTCCAGGTTCTTCTGTCTGAGGAAGTTCTCCTAATGCAGTGCTAGAGATGCTTTCTGCAAGCGTTTGTAAGTTTTTAAGCCTGCACAAACAAGACTTCTCACTTACAGCCTTTGTTTTTTGCTGCGATACTATTTAACATGAGATGGGAACAATTTTCACAGCTCAACTCCAGCACAAAGGCACTTTAAATTAGAGGGTAATCTACCTACATCTGTTCCAGGGGCAACCTTGAATGACTACACACGCAACTTTACATTAAATTATATTTGCACCTAGTCACTTCAGGCTCGGTACAGGGCCAGAATATTTTATCAGACGCTCCTGTGCAGCGAAGGAATCTTACTGATTTTTTAGTAAATTATGCCGTCACAAGAAATCTGTATCTAAGTAAAATTTTAAAAAAATCAAATACATTCTGTAGCCCTGTTTATCTCATTATCCACGAAAGATTCAAAGATCCAACACAGCTTCAGGCTTTGCTCTTGATTAACTCCAAGCCCACTAGGGAAAAGAAACCACATAACCTGCTTTGGAAGACCAAATCACAACCAGGCAGCACAGTTTGCAAACAAAGTTTAAAGGAACCGATCGATGAACTAACTACCCATGCAGTAAGGCTAAATGAGGAAACCCAATTCTCTTTTGGGTATTCTGCTAGCACAAAGCTGCACAGCTAAAGCATAGTCTTAAGTCCCACCAAGGCACTGCTGGTGGGACTTAGGACTACATTATGCTTCCAAAGGCTCTTTCAGCCCAGAACATGCTATACACGTTGCTTTGTCTCATTAGGCTGCGATTTACCTCAATAACCTTCTGGCTTCGGGTGCTTTGATCATGGATCGTGCCGACGCACACGTGCTGCTGTTGCGCTGCTCCTTGCAGTCAGATGGTGCCTGGACCCACTTCAAGCGCAAGGGGGGGCACCCAAATCCACCCCCGTCCGCTTCTCTTCCCCCCAAGTTTCCTCTGCATAGCTCTGTGCTTTGGGACTTGAACGCCGGGCAATTCCTTGCGCCTCAACATTACTGGGAATGTACTTGTTACATAGAGATAGAGCACCGCTTCAAGATCTGAGAGAATTGGATATTCCCCATCAAAAGACACTTTTTTCCCCCCGTAAGGAAATCAGATTTACAGCTCTGCAGTTTCTTTCGACATCAGCAGTCGTAAGAGCTTGTATTTCTTGCCAACCCCACATAACCACCTGCCTCTTCCCTTGGCTACCACATCCCACGTCTCAGCCACCAAGGCTCAAATGGAACCTCACCTCTACTCTCCAAGTTCTTGTTGCCCTTTTCCACAGTGGGTCTTAGGATCTGTCACTGTTTGATGAAGCCCAGGTAAGTTTTTCTATCATTACTGCACTAAACCATCCATATAGATGAGTACTACAGACTCCCAATGTGATTTAAACACCCAGCCTGGATGTGGACTTAGCAACAAGCACTTCGGTGGGATGCCTGGAGGCTGCAATGAGTTAAGCCTCCTATGATCCCTCTTGGAATCATAGATCCTTCGGAAAAGGACCCTGGCAGAAGCTCGCTGTGCTCCAGCCGTTCCCTGGCACTTGGCCACAAGCACGCTGTTAGCATCCGACATCCCAAAACAGAGAGGAGACAACCTCCTCCTCCTGAACCGAGCGGTACCAAACGTCCCCCGCAGCACACAAACCCCAGTGTGCGGCTCGAAGGCGACACGCAGCAACTCGTGCGTGTCAAAGTCCCCAAAAAAGCCAGTGGGCCTCCAACACAACAGAAGTGCAGATGAGAGCAGAGTGAAAAAAAAGGCATTAACGTCAATCATCAGAAACATATTTTTCTTTCACAGATAACACCCATTAGTAACTCCAAGGAGAACAATCCCCACTCTTCAGCTCTGAAGGAGTACACAGTTTTTCAGCAGACACAATGCAAAGATTTTGCAGAATTCAGGCATTCAACAGGACTAATGTGAAAGATTATTTTGCAATTATCCAAGCAATTTTCTCTCCTCATTGTCCCTGGACCATAAGGGTTTTTAAATGTGAGCAGAAAGATTTATTCATCACAATAATAATAAAACGAAATATTAAATCAATGAATCTCTTTGCATGAAGCATAAAGCTCACTTTGCTATTAAGCTTAGTAGCATCCTGTCACATAAACCACACGCAGTTTGCATACTTAAGTACCATCTCCCTCTTTTATTTTTCCCTTCCCTAATTTGTAAGGCATTATCCTTCTATTTGTCCTCTAAACACGACCAGATTCAGACAACACAGCATTGCTTCTTGTTAGTGGCTCTATGCCCATGCTCTCTTTACGAGAGCACGTGGAGATTTAGATTTAATACTGATTGTTAACAATGGCCAGTGCAGAAAGTTATGCTGGGATGACAGAAAAGTCCCAAAATAAATAAATACATACGTAAGTAATAGTTTAGGGAGATTTAACTCCTTACAAGCAATATTGCCAATATGCAAGCAAGTAGCTGGGCATGAAAAGGAACGTCGTCGGTTTTTGAAGGTGTCGCTTCTTCAGTTTAGCTGGAGAAAAATAAAATCAACCCAAACCTAAGCAAAACTCAGTTACAACCTTTGGAGCGTGGAAGCTGTCATAGTCACATTGGCCTTGGCTTATGTTTTCCCCTGTTTTTCTTCTCTGCCATCCCTTGCAATATACAGTGATAAATCCCTCTTAAGGCCCTTGCAGTAGGCATGGCTTCAGTGGGTCCCTCTTTTGTTTTTATAAAAGATTTATCTGGTAAAGTGCAGAAACAGTCACTACTTAGGTATTTATAAGGTGCCAACTATCCTCACAGTGTGACACTTAAAAAGCCTAAGCTAAGATTTTCGATAAGCAAGAATCTCCAGCTTTAAGCCTTGAGATTCATATTAGGCTCCATACAGGCAATTACTGTTTCCTGAGTGCTAAACACCTGGCACCTCTAAAGATCCCATATTTTTACAATTTAGGCTCTCCTGCATAACAGCACCTGTATTTCACAACCCAAAGGCCACGGAACGAATTCTCTCATGACAGCAATTCATCTTGCCTAAGTTCACACATCCACAGAGCACAGCCATCCACCTCTGAACATCGGCCTCCCTTCAAAGCTGGTGGAGAGAAACAAACGTTTCTAGAGCACCAGCCGGCATAATCACAAAACTCAGTTACAACCTTTGGAGCGTGGGAGCTGTCATAGTCACATTGGCCTTGGCTTATGTTTTCCCCCGTTTTCTTCTCTGCCATCCCTTGCAATATACAGTGATAAATCCCTCTTAAGGCCCTTGCAGTAGGCATGGCTTCAGTGGGTCCCTCTTTTGTTTTTATAAAAGATTTATCTGGTAAAGTGCAGAAACAGTCACTACTTAGGTATTTATAAGGTGCCAACTATCCTCACAGTGTGACACTTAAAAAGCCTAAGCTAAGATTTTCGATAAGCAAGAATCTCCAGCTTTAAGCCTTGAGATTCATATTAGGCTCCATACAGGCAATTACTGTTTCGTGAGTGCTAAACACCTGGCACCTCTAAAGATCCCATATTTTTACAATTTAGGCTCTCCTGCATAACAGCACCTGTATTTCACAACCCAAAGGCCACGGAACGAATTCTCTCATGACAGCAATTCATCTTGCCTAAGTTCACACATCCACAGAGCACAGCCATCCACCTCTGAACATCGGCCTCCCTTCAAAGCTGGTGGAGAGAAACAAACGTTTCTAGAGCACCAGCCATGGCATAATCATGCAAACACCTAAAATGGGTCAGATGAGTCATACCTGTAATCTCCCTGTTTTTCTCTGCTGATAAAGCATCCAGATCAGGTACAGACATCTACAACCACAGGAGATGAATGCTGTCCTAGATGACTTAAGCTGAGCTGACATGCTACAGAAGAGCTACAGCCAACTTTAATGCATAAACCCCACCATGAAACAAGACCATAGTAGCTACATCTTTCTTACCATGATTGGGACACCAATGTCTGGCCACAAGAGATCCTCAGAGGGAAGCTTGGGAGAGTTCCACACAACCACAACTTTATTTAAGTATGGGAGACCATTGAGCCTTTCTAGGGAGTTCATCAACACTTCCTCCCGCTCATAAGTCAACATCACTACTGTGAACTGCTCCCGGGGGACGTTGCCACCCAAAGCAGCCTGGAACTCCTTCCCGGAGCCACCTGCTCCTCCACCAATTGGTCGAAATCCAGTCCCAGACCCCAAAAATTTTGCTTCTGACGGTAAAACAGGGTCAAAGGGAGTGTAGGGGAAGAGGTGGAAAGGCCCTGGAGCAGAATTCCAATTCCTGTAGATGTCCATTGCAGTGAGGGTGAAATTGCGGAGATATTTGGGAGATGCATAGGGTGGTTCTGTTTCCACAGGCCCCAAGTCCAGGTCACCATTGTCTGCCATATTGGGGTCTGTACCAGCAGCTTTGCCAGACCGGTGGGGAATCTCCACGGCGGTTTCTTCTCGGATAGGAGCAGCCGGGATTTGGATTCGAGTCCTTATGATAGCTAAGACTGTGCTGAACACGTTGTCAGAGGTGGAGAAGTAGGTCTCCCACAAGAAGCGGCCCTGCCTCCTCATGGCAAGGAGATCGTTGTCAGAAATGCTTCTCAGAAGAAAGTGCACTTCTGTGATACGTGGCTTTGGTATGATTAAGGCTGCCTCGTTCCACCGGATCACATCATTATAGGGTAGCTGAACTTGCTCTCCGAGAACCACGGGGATGGCTCCAACTTCCAGAGCCTCAAAGAGTCTCATGGCACACCCAGCGGAGATCACTAAATGGGTGTCCCCTGGGGTGATTATCAGTGCAAAAGTAGATAGCTTCAGTAGCTCTAGTCTGTCATCCCTTTCTCCACACAGAGCCCACTCAGTGGGCAGACTCGCCTTAGGCTGGTTCTTACATGTGAACTCCACCAAAACAAAGTCCAACTTGCTGTCCTGAACAGCCTTCAAGGTGGTAATGATCCGATCGTCGTAGTCAGCTGGGGCATTGCCTTCTATTTCCTCTTCGAAAGAGCGAACCTCTTGCAAGCTAGATCTGAGAGACTCAATCTTCTCCCCCTGGAAACTAAACAGATATTTACGCTTGACTGGCACCTGGGGTGGGATTTCTAGGAAATTGGGTTCAGACATAGCATGGACCAGAGGCGATACCACAATATCAAACCCCGGTCGATACTGCACATCGTAAAAGGTGGACTGGGCAATCATGGCACGCCCTGTGCTGATGTTGTAAATGAAGTTCTGAGTTTCCGATTTCCTTGATAAATTGATGATGAGATGGTTATGTCCATCAGTCCTCCAATATGGCAAAGAGTGCAACTGTTGCTCTAGTTCAGTAGGTTTTGGCATTACGGGCTCTTGCATTTCCCCCACTAAAATTATATACACACAAGCAATATTTGCATTTTCAGTAACATAAACATTAGTTCTGACAGTTGCCTCAAAGGCTTGTTTAATTAAAGGGTCTAAGGAGCTACCAAAAGGGTAATCGTCACTGTTGTAGACATAGACTGGAAAGCCAGATGTCAACGGGCAGCGCGAGTAGTCAAAGCAATTGTGTAGCCTGCAGTTACGGTTGGATTTTGGCAGGGGGAAGGTTGCATCGTCTTTGTCTGGCAGCAGCCGGATGGGCAAGGAGAGCTTGGGCTGGTTCTGAGCCATCAGCTCTTTGTAGGAATGCTCGGTCTGGCTGATGACGTTCTTCAACTGCAGCAGGTCCTGCTTGGCATTTTCAATGCTCTTTTTGCAGGCCTCGATCTTCAAGTTGAGCTTGGCGATCTCGCTGTTGAGCTCCTGCCGCTTGGCCTCCAGCTGGAGCAGCTCCTCGCTGACTGACTCACGGATGCGGCACAGGTCTTGCACGTGCTTTACCTCGCACAGCTCATTGCCGGTCCGAGGGCCAAAGATGCGCTTGCCGGCATCGTCCGCGTCATCGATGGTGGTTAGGTAGTAGTGGGCAATGAGGGGAAAGAAGACGAGGATAATGAAGAGGGTGAAACTAAGCCAGGTGAGCCGGATCCGACTGGACCATCTCAACATCCACGGCTGGCCTCCATTCCCCACTCCCCCATTCCGCAACATCGTATATCCAGTCATGAGTTCAAAAGTCGCTGCGCGCCCAATCACGTTGGATCAGTAGCCATAACCAAAAGAGTTTTTATAGCGAGTCTCTCGAAAAAAAATGTTATTGTTCCTGCTTAACGAGAAGCCAATAGAAGGGGAATTTCATCTTCTTGTCGTGCTGACAGCTCCTCTACAGTTGTTTTGCTGCAGGCCCAACTTTTGATCCTGTTAGACTCAATCATTGACCTTCTCACCCACCCCCAGCCCCCCCTTGGTCTGCAGGCAACTGTTGCTGGAAGTGTCACAGCGTTGTCATGGTGATTCAAAGTCTCAACTGGCAGAAGAAAAACACAATGGGATCAAGCCAAACTCTACCACTGCTCTCGACATCCTGCATTACCATCCAATGAATATGCAGAGGCACCAGCCATTGTGGAGAAGGAGCCAGAAGAGACTCGTACGAATGTCAGTCTCTCTCATCGCTGCTGTGCGGCTGATGCTCTGCCATTCCTACAAGAGAACAATCATATATTCAGACAATGCAAACAAAACGACCCCTTAGTGACCTAAGACATTGCTAGTTTTTAAAAGCAACTGTCCTTTCTGCAAAAAAGCAACCTTTGTACATGTCTAACACCTCTGGGGTTAATACCAGTAAACCTGAGAAAGTGATGGGATTCATTAGATGCGGACACATGGCTTTCTCCGGGCACTCTGCTTTTCATTAGGGTTGCTTGCTTCAGTGGCCAGACCAGAAAAATCACAGCCCCTGGATCTGGTTTCCTATTTCTGCCTCTGCCACTGTCTTGCTGTGTAACTTTGCAGAAGCTGCTTAACATCTGCAAGCCCCTGTCTCCTCATGTACAAAATGGAGATATTAATGTACACCTGCTCTCTCTACCAGGCTTTTAATGGCGTGTTGTGATCCTGGGACACAGCAGCGCTGTAAATTTGTACTGCATAACTGAGTGTAATCACTATTGTTCTGGTCTAGCAACTAGAGCTGATGAGGAATTTTTAGATGAAGTGTTTTGCTTTCATTTCCTGCTGGAAAATTTTGATTCATTGCAAGAGAAAGTTTAAAGGGAACATACTTGTGGTGGTTACGATTACCTCTGCTGGCTGGCTGTATATGAGAGGGAATTTCTGGTCAAAACTGGAAAAGTCTACACTGTACATCAAAGCAAAGATGCCGAAGTTAGGATCGTTGGGTACCGCACCACCCAAGCGGTATCAGCTTGCTTAGATATGCCTTTTTGCTTGGAAAACTCTGCTACGGCACTGAATGCCTACCTAGCATGGGCATAAAAATCAAGGACATGGCAAATTCAGCTCTGAGACTTTGGTCTATGCCAACAGATTTAAATCTAGGCCAGATGAATATGCTGCCACTAGAAACTCTCCCTTCCCTTTTATTAGCATCCTCCGAGGTACCTAAGTTTCTGGTTTATTCTTTCATATACCGGACTTCTCACATCAATGATGAATATAGTGCTGGGCTTAGCGTTGACTCCTGCACAGCCTCAAGAGAAGCTTATTCATTTCCGCTTCAGTTTTTAATTAGAGGGAAGTCATCTACACTGGTGACAGTCATTTTTCACTAAATCTATTTAATAGACCATCTCATCTCATCTCATCGAGAATTAGCAGAAAGAAGGCAAGGAAGCACATCTCAGCTAAAACAGAGATCTGGAAGTGGGCCAAAGCAAAACAGAAGTTCCCCTTAAAGGAACAGAGAGAAGTCAGGAATAATTTTCAGTGTAGTACACAAGTGCTTGTCAGAAAAAAGTAAATGGAAGATTTGATTTTAACGAGGAAAAATCATAATGAAAGGGGAAACAAGTAGAGTAATAAAGTACAATTCCTAGGCCTATTTTGTTACAAGGCCATTTGTTGTCGGTAAATTAATGGCCCACAATTAAATGGGGATCCCCCCAACCTGACCCGCAACCGGGAGTTGCATAGCAGTACAGACACTTAAAATTAAGGCAGATTTAAAATTCATAACGTTGTCTGGCAAACAGCAGTGGTGTAAATCTCAGAAAGCCGGGAGCATAAAAGGGCTAAAAAGTCAGGAAAAGGCTAAATCAGCTTTCTCAGATCTTGGCAGCACAGTCGCTGTGGGCAGATGGGGGAGGCTTCGGCTCTGCTGGCAGGACATTTTAATACTATTCTCTGTGCACCAACTTGCACTTGCCTAGGCTGGGAGAGAGGCTGGTGATGAATGTAAATCCCCAGCACTTCTGCGCAGGGCTGTCAGTCAGGCACAGGGAGCCCTGGCAATAGCAGCACACTTGTATCGTGCCTCTGGGACCGCTGCTACCCAAGACAAGAGTTTTAGCATGCACCAGTGTACAAACCAGGCGACTGAAGGCAAAAATAAATAAAAGCTTTTAAAGTCTATTCCTCTTTTTTAAGCTCTCCCCAGGAAATGAAGCTCATGCTGTCACTGTCCGTATGCATGCACCAGTCAGTGAGTCCCTGCTATTTCAGCCTGGTCTCACAAGGACTGCAAAGATCCTAGAATTGCTACTAGTTTTCTGCAAACAGCTGGCCAGATGAGAGCTGCCCTATTAACCCTTTTTCCGAGCACATGCTCACAAGAACACCAGTGAATCTAAAAACCAGCCTAACTTCAAGGCACACGTGGGAAAACAAGCTGTGCTGTTTTTTTTGTTTGGGGGTGCCATGGGATAAGTGAGGTCAAACCCTGCAAGGTGTTGAGATAACACAGAAACAAGGGATCATAAATGTGGCCAAGAAACAACTAAGGGGCATGTGGATGTGCTGCTTCAGTCTGGCCAGAGAAAACTGCAGCCCCACAGGCAGTAAAAGCAGTCACAAAGGTTATCAGCTCAGACTGCATCTAAATCTTGTTCTGTTGTAGCTGCTTTGCCCATTTATGAGCCCTAAACAGTGATGAAATGGCAAACTGGAGTCCCTAAAATGGCAACTGGAGTCCTTGAAAAGCTAAATCTATTGCCCCACACATGATCCTCTGCAGCTGTTCTGCCACCTAATCCTTCCAGTGGCTCCTCTGGTCCTTCCATTCAGTCAACACAGAACAAACTTTATCCTCCTGACCTAAAAACATGGGCTGTGAATTAAAAAAATCCGTATGCTCAGAAACCTGAAGCTGACAAACTAACTCTGCCGCTAGCTTTGAAAAGACCACACGGGAAAGACCAGAGCAGGCTGGGGAGGGATTTGAAATGCAACACACGTGGCTTGGGATCAGTTAAAAGTATTGACTGTCAGTATGAAATATGTGCTGGCGATAAAGCAAGCACTTTAGACACACTCTCAGACTCTTCTTCATTACTAAGACTTTATTCCTCATCAACTCGATAGAGCCTGAGGTTGTAACACATTGTTATTAGGCTTCAAAAAAAAAAAAAAAAAAAAGGAAAAGGAAAAACCCAACCTGTTTTCCAAAAAAAAATTTA